AAAAAGCAGTGAGTGCGTAATTTAATGTGCATGCTGGGGGTGCCCAAAGTACTCAATATGAAGCCAAAGGAGTTAATTTTCATTTGGAATTGAATGCATTTCTTTTTGCCTTTTTTCTTTTCTCTTTCATCACAACATATCTTTTGTAAACAAATTTTGAACAGATGCCTTGTGCTCCAAGGTCAACATCAAGTAAAGCAAGACTCCTGGATAACTCCACTACAAACTTACAACCCAAAAAAAAAAAATCCATTCACAATTACTCTGTTTCCTATCATGTGGCCAATTTTGTATCCTTGTTGCTGCTGTCTCTTATAATCTATGAGCTCAAACTTGAGTCTTTTGTGTGGTACTGTGCCAAACATCTTTTGGAATGCTTGTGCACCACTCAACAGCATTACCCTCATTAATCCTCTATACCCCTAATAAACTGCAATAATTTAGTTAGACATGGTTTTTGGCTTGAGAAATCCACGCTGGCTGTTTTTAATTTATGCACATTTGTCCATGTGACTATTAATATTATCTTGTATTATTGAACTAACTGGTCTGTAACTGACAGGCTTTTCCTTGCACCCTTTTTTTTTTTTTTGAACAAGTAGAATGTTTGCAATTAATCAGGCCTCAGGAATGAAAAATTGTGGCCAGTGCCTCTGCAATTAATACAGTCATTTCCTTCAATATCCTTGGATGCATTTCATCTGGTCTATTGCTTTATCAACTTTAAATACAGTCAGTCCACTACCATCTCTTTATCAATTTTGAACTCTTCTAATGACTGAATTTCCTCCTCTCTCACCTTCTCCTGGATTGTATCTGTTTCCTTGGTAAAGTACAGATACACAGTATTTATTTAATACTTTAGCCATGCTCCTGTGTAATTCCCTTTTTATGACCTTGAATTAGTCCTTCTTTTAACATCCTTTTACTATGTATGTGCCTATAGAAGACTTTTTGGTTTTCCTTTGTATGTTAGCTGTCAGTCTCTTTTCAAATACCTTTTTCTTTCTGTTGCTTTGTCATATCTGTTCTGAACCATCTAATTCAGCTTGGTTCTCAATTGTATTTTCTACCTGGCATCTGTTTAAAGACAGTTTTTCCCTTTATCTTAGTTTCTATCTTCTTTTTTCATCCAGGGATCTTAGGATTTGTTTGCCTTGCCTTTTGCTTTTGAGAGAATGCACCTTGACTGTGCCTGAACCATCTCTAGAAGGTAGACAGTCTTTTTCTTTTGGCTTTTGGCTCCAATCTATCTGGCCCAGGTTCATTCTTGCCCTCTTGAAATCAGCTGTGTCTCCCAGTTAATTATTTTTGCTCTGGATTATTCATTGTTCTTTTTCACTATCATCCTCAACCTCTTGAAATAATTTGATACTGACCCTTAAATGCTTCCCTGCAGAGACTTCAACTACTTGGCCTACCTTATTCCACTGGTTGAGCAGTGACTCTTTGCTTGCTGGACTGGACACAGTCTGCTGTCGAGAATTTCTCCTGAACACAATCAAAGAACACCTTGTATCTCTGCACTTTATGCTGCGACTGTCCCGGTTTACATTCAGACAAATACAAGTTCCTCATTACAGCTACTCTACAAATATTTGTAACTCTCTGTAATTGCCTTCTAGCTTTGTTCCTCCACACCTTTCCCGCTATTTGGCGGTTTGTAGACTATACTGAGCAATTAAACCATTTTTATTTATTACTCTAGCCAAATGTTTTGTTCTTGAACCCTTCGGGACATACACTTTCTCTAGCACTGCACTGCACTACACTTCTTAACCAATACCACCTACCCTCCTCCCTTTCTTCTTTTCCTATCTTTACTGGACACCTTGTATCTTGCAATATTTAGTACCAAATTGATACTTCTGTAAGTTTCTGTTGATCACTTGGGCCAATGGGCTGAAGAGTGGCAGATGGAGTTTAGTTTGGATAAATGCAAGGTGTTGCATTTTGGTAAAACGCACAAGGGCAGGACTTGTACAGTTAATGGTAGGGCCCTGGGAAATGTTGTCGAACAGAGACACCTAGCGGTTCAGGTGTCGTCCCAGGTAGACAGGGTGGTTAAGGCATTTAGCACGCTTGCCTTCATTGCTCAGACCACTAAGTATAAGGAGTTGGAACGTCATGATGAGGTTGTACAGGATGTCGAGGTCACTTTTGGAGCACTTTGTAGAAACAGTTCTGGTTTGCCTGCTATAGGAAGGATATTATTACATTGGATAGGGCTCAGAAAAGATTTACCAGGATGTTGTGGAGACTGGAGGGTTTGAGATAGGCTGGGACTTTTTTCCTGGAGCGTAGGAGGTTGAGGGGTGACCTAGAGTTTTATAAAACCACAAGCGGCATGGATAAGGGAACTAGCAAAGGTCTTTAAAGTGGGGGAATTCAAAACTAAAGAGCATATTTTTAAGGTGAGAGGAGAAAAGATTTAAAAGGGACCTGAAGGGCAACGTTTTCACACATAGGATGATTTGTCTGGAGAATGAACTGCCAGAAGAAGTGGTAGATGCAGGTACAGACAATTGGACAGCTACATGAACAGGAAAGGTTTAGAGTTATATGGGCCAAATACAGGCATGTGGGACTAGTTTAGTTTAGGAATCTAGGTCGGCATGGGCAAGTTGGACCAAAGGATCTCTTTCCGTGTTATATGACTCTCTGCCTCTGATTGCTACTGCCATGTTACAACTTGGTGAGGAGGGTGATGAGCTCCTTTCTCATCAACACACCCTGTCAGTCGTATTTTTTTTGACACGTAGTTATAACACTTCAATTAAATGTAGGTAGCCAGATCTAAAATGAAGGAGACCCAATTCCAAGGTTATATGGAGTGAAGGAGATTGATGTTTTGTGCCCTATTAAAACCAATGCATCAAGAGCACATGACATTAAAACGTGTGCTCACGCACGTGTACACATGCACCAAGGGTAGTAAGCTTAGAAAGAAAAGGGGATCAGATGGTGTCTATGCAGGCAGAATATTCAAATAATTTCAGTTTAAAGTTTTTAGACTCATTGTGTTGTGAGTGCAAAACTTGAATCCAAACAGGTTAGCTGCTGCCCTATTTTCTTGGAAATGGCAAAGCTTGCTGGTAAACTGGAGTTGTTGATGACTAAAAAGCAAATTACTGCAGATACTGGAGATCAAAAATGAGAACAAAAAATACTGGAGAAAAACCGGTTTGGTAATATGTGGAGAGAGAAAGCATTTGTGTTTCTATTAAGGTCTGGGATTGGTTGGTGTAGAACCATGTGGGTGGAGGTAAGAAATAACAAATCAAAGCAGTCACTATTAGGAGCAGTCTGCAGGCCCCTAACACAGCAGTCAATAAATCAGGGCATGAAGGCATGTAACAAAAAAAGCAATGCATTAATCATGGGTGACATTAACCTTCATGTGGATTGGGAAATTTTGAATCTAAGGTAGCCACAGGGAAAAATTCATGAAATTCTTAGAACAATATGTTGTGGATCCAACCAGAGATCAGGCTATCTTGGATCTGATAATGAGGCAGGTTTGATAGTCATCTGAGTAAATGATCCCTGAGGGACCAGTGACCATAACCTGTTGAATTCAAACATTTCAAATATGTTTACAAAAGGCCAAAGTGAACATAGACCCCCATGGAGAGCAAGGCTGTGGAAACAATGGGGAACCAGGAAATGACAGGAGTTCAGCGAATACTTTGCTTTAATCTTCATGGTAATAGACATTAAAAAAGCATTCCAAAAATACTAAATAATTGGGGGGACTAGCAGGGGAGGAAATAAACTTAATGATCATTAAGCAATGTTGAATTCAGCTTTCAGTTCAAGTGTGAGAACCTTGAGACAGAGATAACAAGAATTGCAGATCAGCAATAGTATTTTTTCCTGTAATGGGGCTATAAGCTAGTCAGATTTCTGCACCTGATGAGCGGCACCCAAGGATTTTAAAGGAAGTAGCTACAGAGATGTTGGATGCAATGGTCATAATTTCCAAGAATATTTCTATTCGGGAAGTGGCAGTTTTCCAAACCTCTGATAATGTACCACCCTTATTCAAAAAGGGAGGGAGTCAAGAATCTAGTATCTTTAGGCCAGTTAGCTAAATACTTAGCATTCTGAAAATGCTAGAGTTTGTTATAAAGGATGTAATAGCAGAGTATTTAGAAATGCTTGATATACTCAGAGTCAGCATGACCTCATGAGGGTAAAATCATACCTGATAAATTTATTACAATTTTGAGGAATAACAAATAGATAGATGGAGACCAGTAGATGCAATATATTGGGATTTCCAAAAAGTGTTTGACAAGGTACCACACATTAGGGTAGTTAAAGTAACTGTGCATGGTATTGAAGTAGTGTATTAGTGTGGGTAGAGGATTGGCTAATAAATAGCACAGAGTTGGAATAAAGGGGGCATTTTCAGGATGGCCACCAGTAATTACTGGAATGCCAAAGGGATCAGTGCCGGGGGACAATTGTTCATAACATATATTAGTGATATAGCTGATGGAAATGAATGTAATGTTGCCAACTAAATGTTATGTGCAAAAATGGGTGGAAGGGTGAGGATGTGAGCGGGATATAAACTGGTTAGGTGTGTGGATGAAAACTTGACAGAATGTAGTTTCTCAAAATGAGAGGTTATGCACTTTGGCAGGAAGAATGGAAGAGTTTAACATTATTTTAATGAAGAAAGACTGCAGAAATGATGGAGCAACCTCAATGGGCTGAATGATCTCCTTCTGCTCTTAAATCTTATGTATTCCTTAAGACTTAAGTGAACTACTGGGCTGTGTGTTGGCTTGGGCCAGCGATAATTCACTATTAGATATATCTTGCTCATTTCCTTAAATTCCCTCTTCATTCACCTGACCCCATAAGTGTTGCAACTGAAACTGGAAATTGTGGGAAGAGATTGGATTTGCAGTTCCTATTGAAATATCCTGCTGTTTCATCTCTGCTGAAAAGAATGGAAGAAGGATAACATTATTTTTCTTTTCCAAAAGGTGTGATCAACTGCAATTGAGATGTTCCATTGTAATTACTGTGATTTGGGGACGGCGTGCATTGATGAGCTAGATATTCACATTCTAGAGACACATACTGACTTTCAGTCTACTGACTGTCCTCCTGACAAATTATCCAATCAGATTTTTCCAGTTTCGACATGCTCCGATTTACAATCCAATCAGCCTGACATGCAGATATCTGTCAATCCTGGTAAGAATGCATTCATAAAACTGTTATTTTCTTTTGCTTCTTATTCCAGCATGTAACTGTGTTCAGTTTATGGAATTAGGTTAAGTACTGGTAGGTGTGCAAGCAGTGAAGCTCGTTGCTGTCAAGAAAAACATTGTTGAGTGGATATATTGGATACACTGAGTACTGAATTATAGCAACAAAATCAGATGTTCCTACTTCATTATTATAAACATACAGGGTGGAATCTCAAAGGTTAGAACAATATGGGGTATATGGTGAGACTTGTGGCAGAATTGTGCAAGATTTCTGATGGGGCCTGTCTAAATGTCAGAAGCATCACAAGCCATCCTGTATGTTTTTGACAAGTGATGTGGTAGGTTTCTTGCCATGCCATGATGAATTGCCAATTAGGGATTGTTGCTTGTTAAATACCTTGTTAAAGGCCCAACACACCTCATTAATATTCAACTTATCTTAGTAAATGTGCCAACGAGTTGGAAATTGACAAATCTTTACATGGAAATCAAAATGGGTACCTGGTGATTTCAACTCAGTATTTGTTCTAAAGGACCTCCTTACTGGACACCGCCACTTTGGGGCGCAGTCCATGGGCACAGGCCACTCACACCGCACATTCACAGATATTGTTATCAGACATGGGTTTAACAAGACTTTTTTTTACTTTTGTGCTCTGTGCCCTTGTGTATAAAGTGCAGGAAACTGCATTCCTTAACTACAACATGAACTTGCACACCATTTAGAATTTAGAACTGTGCCCTTTTTTAATGTCAGTCTTGGCATTCTTTCTAACAAAATGGTAGAACTTACTAGTTTCCTGCCTTAAATTTAATCTGCCAATTGCCTATTCAATCCATCAACATGCCCTTGACCTTTAGATGTTCTATGCTAACCTCCACACAGTTCCTATTGTATCTAAACTTTCAGTTGTCTGTAAGTTTTGAAACTCTGCCAAGTGCACCAAGGTGTAGCTATTTAAGTTGTGTATATAAGGAAGAGCAGTGAATCCATTGCAGCCCCAAAATCATTCAATAACAACATGGAGATGAGTAATTGTTCCTCTAGTGTGAATTTGAATTATTTCATTTTAGCACGTATCTATCCAGAGTAGGAAATGTCTTTCTTAATGTACGGACTTACCTATCGTCTCTTTTAGTGTACTTTCTTTTAAGAACATCCTCTGTTCTGGAATTTTATAATCTTGCTCGTTTTTCATTCAGGTCTTCCGAATATGTTTTAGTCATTTATTTTATACTTGACTGTACCTTCAATCATTTTCCTGGTTGAGACAATTGTGGTGGCGGAGTGACACTTATCACTAAATGACATATGGCTTGACCCCCCTACTCAGACATTTGTTCTCTCTTTTAGAGCATCCTGCCTTATTCCATCTTAACTGTGTTCAAATACTTAAAAAAAAATGTTTAAAAACATCTGTCGCTTTAAACTGTTACAGGCTCTGACAATATAATTTCAGAGCAAAATGATGGATTGACTTCACAGAATCTGCAGGACAGTACAATCCAGATAGGGTTAATTGTTGATTTGACCTGCAACTTAATTGTCCAGTGTTTCTCTCAGGATCACTATATAAATAAAAGTTGAATTCTGTCACAGTAAATGAGACAGATTTCTGATTGTTACGAATAAATTATTTCAGTCAGGTAAGACGTAATGTTATGAGGTAGTTGTGATTTAGAACTCACTGTTCTGAGAAATGGTTGAGACATAAGTTTCAGAATGAAACTAGAGGAGTATATGAGCAAAAAAGAAATTTTAAAAAATTGAAATACACGGGCAGATGTATAAGAGGATAGTTCATGACTCACAGCAACGATATGTCCCAGTCCTAGAAAGAATGCTAGAACGGGGATAAACCATGATTAACCAATGAAATTAAGGATTAAATCACATTAAAAGAAAAAATACAATGTGACCAATAATAGTGCTAAACCAGAGGTTTGGAAGAATTTTAAAAGCCAACATAAGATTACCAAAAAGTAATAAAAGGGGGGGAAAACAAACTGAGGGTATACTAGCATGTAACTTAAAAATTGACAGTAAAAGTGTGTTTAAATATATATATCTTAAAAAAAAGTTGGCCCCTTAAGAGAATGAAGCTGGGGAAGTAAAAATGGGGAACCATGAAATGGCAAATGACGTGAATAAATATTTTGCATCAGTCTTCACGGTAGAGGACACTAATAGCATTCTAAATAATGATTGGGCCAATAGAGGGGGAAGACATAGATACAATAATTATCACAAAAGAAAAGTAATAGGGAAATTAGTGTGGCTGAAGACTAATAAGTACCCTGGACCTGATGGGTTGAATCCTACAATATTAAAGGAAGTAGCTACAGAGATTCTGGATGCGTTGATAGTAAACTTTCAAGAATCCCTAGATCTGGAAAACTCAGGGCAGTGGGAACTGCCATTGTAACGTCCTTATTCGAAAAGGGCAAGAAACAAACATACGGGTAAATATAGAGATAACAGTGTGGCGCTGGAGGAACACAGCAGGCCAGGCAGCATCAGAGGAGTAGGAAAGTTGATGTTTCGTGTCGGGTTGGGGGGGGGGGTCCCAACCCAAAATATCAACTCTCCTCCTCTGCTGCCTGGCCTGCTGTGTTCCTCCAGCATCACACCGTTATCTCTGACTCCAGCGTCTGCAGTTCTTACTATCTCTGTACGGGTAAATATAGGCCAGTTAGCTTAACATTTGTCATTGGGAAAATGTTGGAGTCTAAAGCATCTGCCAGCAGAGCGTTTAGAAATAATACAATCAAGCAGAGTCAGCATGGTTGCGTGAAGGGGAAATCATGTGGATCATAATGTGGGAAAATGTGAGATTGTGTGCTTTGGCAGGGAGAACAGAAAATCTGAATAGTTTTCAAGTGGAGTAAGACTGCAGAAAGCTGAAGCACAGAGGGATTGACAGGTCCTTGTGCATGAATCATATGAAAATCTAGCGCATAAGCTCAGGTAGCAGGGAAGGCATTTGGACAGGTGGCCTTAATTTCAAAGGGTATGGTGTATAATGGTAGGGAAATCTTGCTAAAACTACACAAGACCACAGCTTGAACACTGAACTGTTTTGATTTGTTATTTAAGGAAACATTTATTGGCATTGTAAGCATTCAAAAGAAGGTTCATTAGGTTGATACAAAGCTTGAAGTGATTTTCTTAGGGGGAGAGGTTGAGTAGGTTGGGCTTGTAGAAGAAATGAGGGATGACCTTATTGAAACATGCAATATGCTTAAGGGGTCTTAACAGGGTAGATACAGAAAAGTTGTTTCCTCTTGTGGGAGCGTCTAGGACAAGAGGGCATATTCTCAGAGGAAGGATTTTCCCGTTTTAAGACAGAAGAAGGAATTTCTGAGTGGTGAATCTATGAATTCTTTACTATAAGAGGGCTGCCAAGACTCTGTTTCAAGTGTATTCAAGGCTGAGATAATCGGAAAGGAAATTGAGTTGTGAAGATAGGCAAGAAAGTGGAGTTGAGAATTATCAGAAATTGTGATCTCATTGAACAGCAGAACAGACTTGATGGGCCGACTAGGCTACATCTGCTTCTACATCATAAGGTCTTAATTAGATGAGATAGATGGAATGGATCTAGTTTTATTTATCTTTAAGTTTTTAATAGGCTACTAAGGAACCAAGATTCTATTCTGAGGCATTTATTTAAATACCAGCATAGACTGGTTGAGCCAAATGTTCCGTTTCTTTTTAATAAAAGCAAAATACAATGGATGCTGGAAATCTGAATATAAACAGAAAATAGTGCAGAAACTCAGTGGGCCTGACAGCACCTGTGGAGTCAGAAACAGTTTAAATTCTGAGTCCAAAGATATTTCTTTAAAACTAAGTGTTTGTCTTTTGCTGTATACTTCTACATAATCCTATGTAATTTTACTGTGATATTCACCCTCTGTGTAGGACAAGGCTCGAGAGTTGGGAACAAGAGTGACTTGAATGAGGATTTGATCCACAGCAGTCATGTTATTCTGTCAGTTGACCATTTCCAAATGAGTGGTGAGTATCCTTATGGATGCAAAGCTTTCAAGGAATATATGAATCCCTCTTGTGAGACAGTTGGGAAATTAGGAACACTAGAAGATTCAAACAAACAAGTTGCTCATTCCAACACAAATGGAACATTTGCCATTGAGCAGGTGACGGATGTGTATAGTATTGCATGTGACAATGAATGCAATAAACCCAACATTTTCAACAAGGAGTCAGAATTAGATCAGTGTCTGCTGAAGGACACTACTTTGCCCTTCAAAACTGCTGAGGAACCGGAAATGACAAACCTGGGTCACACACAACTTCATGAAACTACGTTGGGAGTAACTAAGGAAACGGATCTGCGTGAAAGTTTGTTGTTTTTACCTCTGGATGGAGGATGGAATATGCTGCCAAAACAGACTAATCCTGATAAACCAAACAAAGATGGGACGGAAATGGAAGTAGATGGAAAATTAGTTGCAGAGACTGGTAAAATGTCCTGTTTGTGGTGTGAATGCGACACATTCAACAAACAATGCTTTGAAGGTCATACAAAAGAACAACATAGTTACTTTGGAAGTGACGAAGAGACTCCAATCTCCACAATGGAGCTAGAGTACTTAGGATGTAAAGAACAGGACTTCAATTCTCAAGTTGATTCAATGAATTATGCTTCTCGGAATGCAGAGACAATAGTGAGAGAGAGTGAACTGTGTAGAACTGAATGTGAAAACCGTCTCTCAAAAAGCAATTCAGATAACATCTCAATAACTGGTGGTCGCAAACCTTCCAAGAATATGCGACAGAAATCTGTAACACATCCTACTTTTCGGCAAAATGTCAGAAGAATATTAAAACTTAAAAACAGCCAAACTGTATTCTACGTGAAACGACTATGTTTGTTTCATTGTGTTATTTGTCGATTTCATACTTTGTACCGTCGTTGTGTCTTGCGCCATGTGAGAAGAATGCATCATAACCACATTAGAAGTCCTAAACTGAAAGGCTGTGTTAGGTTTTCCAATGGTTTAAGTACACTGAAACTTTGTAAAAAGGATTGCACTTTAAAAAAGTTAACTTTGAAAAGGGGTCCACTGCCCTTGGAAAGAAAGTGTTCCCGAGTACTCAAACCAGATAGGAGTGTAAGAAGTGAAAATGTAAATTTGATGCCTTTTGTTGCAAATCCATCAGTTTGCCCTAGTAAATCAGATATTACTGAATCTAAAAATTGCTTAAGAAAGCAACATATTAATCCACGTCATGAAGCATCATTGGTCCAACAGATTAATGATCAAATTCAATTTTCAGTACCTTATCTTCTGGCTAATGATTCAGATGTTAAAACAAGTTCAGAAATACCTAAAGATCCTCCAGGAGCTACTTCACATTTTTCACCGTTAATGACTTCTTTTGAGAAGATAACCTATGGTGATCTGAATATTAAAACTCTGCCACCTTCTAGTAAATGCCTGGCATTGGAAGCCATAGTGGAAAACCTGAAAAGTCGTGTGGCATCACCAATCAAATGCAGGCCAACAGTTGCATTGCTCAATGATCGAATAGCAAAGCCCAGACGGAGCATTCCATTTTGTCGAACAACAGAGGAGCAGCAGGCTAAGTGGGTGATGGAGGCATATAGTTTCTTAAAGCAACAGAAGATTGAAAGAGCTGCTGAGTTTTCCTCCTGTGATGATGATGATTGTCTCCTTGATGCAATGGCTGAAATTGAAGTTGTGCTATCTGATACAGATGATGATAACAGTAACTATTCACAAGTTTGTCGAAATTATGGAACTTCAAATGTAAACTTTGCAAAAGCAACAGAAGACAAAAGAGAAATTCTCAGTCTTGCGTCAAGTGCAAAAATGGAACCAGGAAATGTTTGTACTCGGTTGAACAAATGTGACATCTGTCCTTTTTCAAGTTCTAATATTATGTCAGTTCTGTCACACTATCATAGACAACACCCTGAAGAAAACATACCTTACCACAGGATCCAGAAATATAGCTGTAAGATGACCGTGCAGACGGGATTAGATTTACCTTTGCCCAAGCACAGTTTATTTTGGTTTGATTCTAAATCTGCTGATTCGGTTATCCCTTGCTTTACTGGATCTTCAGCATTGTGTTTCTGTGAACATTGTTCATTCAGTGGAGACTGGGTTTCTTTATTTGAGCATTACCAAAAATCTCATACATCTACAAACATAACTAAATATGGGGGACAGAAAGAGTCAGAGAGAAAAAATGTCAGCAATTTACAGGTTAGGGCTCCATTAGCTTCCACTTCTAGCAGTGAGCCACAGGTGGTGTTTCAGTGCCAGCTCTGTAATTTTACCTGCTCATCAAGACGAGTCATTTGTCGACACTATTGCATCAGGCAGAGTGTTACTTGTGCTCAAGTTGAAGACTTTGATATTCTTTACAAATGTGCCTTGTGTGTGTATACTCATTTAACTCAGGAAGGCCTCATTAATCATTATCTCGTATACCATGATATTGAACCTCAATTTAGCTCTCGTGGAATCAAGACAGGCCAGAATGAACTTGTCTCATTCGTATCCAGTGATGAGGATCTGAAGGCTGGTATGGAAAAACAGATATGTATGCTATGTTCATTTAAGGCTATTACTCAAAAAGAACTTTTGTTCCATTATAAATTACGACATCCAAGATTTTATTCCCAAAATAGGTGCACTATTGAATGTAAAAATCATGCCAATTTGCATATAACAAACCTAGATCCACAATTTTGTGAAGCAAAACATTTCAAGAATGGAAGTGAATGTGTAAAGACTATGTTGGAGTGGGGAATGAGTGTGGTCAATACCAAGGAGCCTTCAGCCTTTGGTGATGGCAGTGAACTTGAATTGATCAACTGTAAAAGAGATCGAGACTTAATAATGGCAGTGCCTGCCAGAGAACACCCGAGAAATCAAAACAACAGCCCAATCCATTATGGGCAGAAGGTCACCATGGCTGCAAACTCATTAGATGTAACAAGATTGCCATCTAAACAATTTCCACTGAACAGACCTGGAAGTCGGAGCTTAGAATACGACCTAATGCCAGGAAAGCAAAATGTTGACAGCAGTGACATTTTTTGTGAATTTGGTGATCCTGTGAATAAAATCACAGTCCAGGAATCTATATTTGGTGCTGAAGATGACTGGCAACAACGAGACCTGGTATGACTCACTGATTCTTAATTGTTTTTAATTCCTTTTGGGGTGACATAAGAATGGAAAAAAAAACGAAGAACAATACAATTTTTGTTTGCGTTTAACAAACTTATCGGCTTGAAATCACACGGCACTAAATAGGGAGATACACCTGAGGTCAAAGCTAACTTCAATATTTTAATCCATTGTTGACATGCTTCGTTTGAATACAGTTTAAACAAAAACATTAAGAACAGAGCTACTTGGTATAAGAGCTCGACTAAATTAGATAGTTATTTGAATGAACTTTCTCAGGCCTGTTGTAATGCACCCCTAGGACAGCTGTACATGTCTTAAAATGGCACCCAGATCTTCTGACTCTCCAGTAGGGACAAGCCCCCACCCACAGATGTGTAAAAACATTTCTGACAAGGTTGATATAGAAAATAATTATTTGCTTGTGGGGGGTGTTTGTGACAGTGGTTGTGTTCCGACCTCTGTGTCAGGAGGCCTGGGTTTAAGTCTATTGGCTCCAGTGGTGTGTCATAACATGTCTGAACAGGTTGATTTTAAAAATACTACTTTTTTTGTTCTTTTTCAAATTGGGTATGGCACAGGAACAGGCCCTTCGGCCCTCCTAAACCTGTGCTGATCATCATGCTCTGACTAAACTAAAAACCAAACCTTCTGCCCCTATTTGGTCTGTATCCCTCTATTCCCTCCCTATTCGTGTAACCATCCAGCTGCCTCTTAAATGTTGCCAACGTGCCTGCTTCCACCACCACCTTTTGGCAGTACATTCCAGGCTCCTACCACTCTCTGCGTGGAAAAACTTTCCTCGCACATCTCCCTTAAACTTTCCCCCGTCACCTTCAACCTGTGTCCCTTGTAATTGAAACTTCAACCCTGGGAAAAAGCCTCTGACTATCCACCCTATATATGCCTCTCATAACTTTGTAGACCTCTATCAGGTCTCCTCTCAGCCACCACCTTTCCAGTGAAAATAATCAGTCTTTTTAACCTTTCCTCCTAGTCAATACTCTCAAAACCGGGAAACGTCCTGGTAAACCTTCTTTGCACACTCTGAAGCTTCCACATCCTTCCAGTGATGTGCAGTTTTGGTTGTCACACAATACTTCAAATGCAGCCTAACAGGGGTTTGATATAGCTGCATCATGTTTTGCCAACTCTTGTACTCCGTGCTCCAGCTGATGAAGATAAGCGTGCCCTATAATCACTTTGGCCAACTGTGCCACTTTTAGGGAACTGTGGACCTGCATGCCCAGATCTGTCTGTATGTTAATGTTCCTAAAGGGTTCTGCGATTAACAGTATAATTTACACCTAAATTTGATCCTCCAAAATGCATCACCTCACATTTGTCAGGATTAAACTCCATCTGTCATTTCTGTGCCCGTCACCAACCTATCTCTATCCTGCTTTATCCTTTCACAATCGTTGGTACAATTAGCAACTGCACCAATCTTTGTGTCATCTGCAAATTTACTAATCAGACCAGCCACATTTTCCTCCAGATCATTTATGTATACTACAAACAACAGAGGACCCAAGACTGATCCCTGTGGAACACCACTAGTTACCGGTCTCCATTCTGAAAAACACCCTTCCATCGCTACTCACTATCTTCTATGACCAAGCCAGTTTTGTATCCAGCCTGTCCACCCTGAATCCCATATGATTTTAGTTTTTGTACCAATCTGCTATGTGGGACTGATAAACACCTTACTAACGTTCATATAAACTACATCCACAGCTCTTCCCTCATCAATTATCTTTGTCACCTCTTCAAAAAATTCAATCAGGTTGGTGAGACATGACCTTCCTCGTACGAAACCATGCTGCCTGTCACTAACTAGTCCATTTTCTTCCAAATGTGCATATATCCTGTCCCTCTGTATCTTCTCCAAGAGCTTCCCTCACCACCAATGTCAGACTCACCGGCCTGTAAGTTCCTGGATTATTTCCTGGAACAAGCTAATCTCTAGTCCTCTGGAACCTTGCCTGTGGTCAAGGAGGATGTGAAAATATCTGCTACTGTCCCAGCTATTTTTCCCTTGCCTCTTGCAGTAAACTGGGATAGATCCCATCTGGCTCTGGAGATTTGTCTACCTTACTGCAATTTAGGATACCCAAAACTTCCTTCTTTTAATATATTGACATTCTGTAGAGTATTCTCAGTCATCCCTGATCTCAACATCAGCCGTGTCATTTTCCTAGATGGACACCGATACAAAGTACTTATTAAGTATCTCTCCCACTTCCTGTGGCTCCACACATAACTTCCCTCCTTTGTCCTTGAGGGAGCCTACTTTTTCCCTTGCAACCCTCTTTTTCTTCTAATTTATGCACAAAAAGCTTTGAGATTCTTCTTGACCCTGTTTTGCTAAAAACCCCTTTTAGCCTTCCTAATTTCTCTATACTCCTCGAGGGCTTTGTCAGTTTCGGCTTGTTTTGGGTATGGTAATTTTTTCAAGCTTATTTCTCCTTTGTTTTAAATTGTAACTGCAACTATTTATTTTGCTTTGTCAAAATTGTTTTAACAAATAAATTTTAAGCAAAAATACTGAGATCTCAAATCTTCATGAAATAAGCAGATGTTCTAATTAACTTTTTTTTTGTATTCTACATACAGTAAGGTAAACTGTCAGCAAAAGCCAAGCTGCATGAACTCATTAAGAAATTATTAATTTGACACACCGATTTCTGAGTAACTTTGACATTGAACTCAGTACTTTTGACTCAATTCAGCTGCAGTTGCTGTTTCAGCATTTTTTGTTGATATTGTGAATTGCAAGCACTAACACTGTTGGCCAGATCCTAGGGTGTGTACTAGAGTGCTCCTAGGCCACAGCTTTGAGAACAGCCATTTCAAACATGCCTGCAGGTAAAACAAATGAGAAGGCACTTTCTCACGCTAAATGTTACGAATTAAAACAGCACAATTTCCGCTAAATAAAAGCAAAATACTACAGATGGTGGAAGTCTGAAATAAAGTGCTGGAGAACCTTAGCTGGTCTAACCTCATTTGTGGAGAGAAAAACAGTTAATGTTTTGAGTCCAATATTACAGATGTTTAGAACTATGTTTACCACAAATGCTGTCAGACCTGCTGAGTTTCTTTAGTACTTTGTTTTTATTTCACAGGTGTAATCCCATTCACTGTCAAAAGCTTTTCCAAAATTTATAAGAGACAACAAGGTGCAGGGCTGGATGAACACAGCAGGCCAAGCAGCATCATAGGAGCAGAAAGGCTGACGTTTCGGGCCTAGACCCTTCATCAGAAAAGGGGGAGGGGAAGGGGGTTCTGAAATAAATAGGGAGAGAGTGGGAGGCGGATAGAAGATGGATAGAGGAGAGGATAGGTGGAGAGGAAACAAACAGGTCGAAGAGGCGGGGATGGGGCCAGTAAAGGTGAGTGTAGGTGGGGAGTTAGGAAGGGGATAGGTCAGTCCAGGGAGGACGGACAGGTCAAGGGGGCAGGATGAGGTTGGTCGGTAGGAGATGGAGGTGCGGCTTGAGGTGGGAGGAGGGGATAAGTGGGAGGAAGAACAGGTTAGGGAGGCAGGGACAAGGTGGACTGGTTTTGGGATGCGGTAGGGGGAGGGGAGATTTTGAAACTTGTGAAATCCACATTGATACCATTGGGCTGCAGGGTTCCCAAGCAGAATATGAGTTGCTGTTCCTGCAACCTTCGGGTGGCATCGTTGTGGCACTGCAGGAGGCCCAGGATGGACATGTCATCTGAGGAATGGGAGGGGGAGTTGAAATGGTTCGCGACTGGGAGGTGCAGTTGTTTATTGCGAACCGAGCGTAGGTGTTCTGCAAAGCAGTCCCCGAGCCTCCGCTTGGTTTCCCGGATGTAGAGGAAGCCACACCGGGTACAGCGGATGCAGTATACCACATTAGCAGATGTGCAGGTGAACATCTGCTTGATGTGGAAAGTCTTCTTGGGGCCTGGGATGGGGGTGAGGGAGGAGGTATGGGGGCAGGTGTAGCACTTCCTGCGGTTGCAGGGAAAAGTGCCGGGTGTGGTGGAGCTGGAGGGGAGTGTGGAGCGGACAACGGAGTCACGGAGAGAGTGGTCCCTCCGGAAAGCAGATAAGGGTGGGGAGGGAAAGATGTCTTTGGTGGTGGGGTCGGATTGCAGATGGCGGAAGTGTCGGAGGATGATGCGTTGGATCCGGAGGTTGGTGGGGTGGTACGTGAGGACGAGGGGGATTCTTTTTTGGTTCTTATTGCGTGGACGGGGTGTGAGGGATGAGGTGCGGGAGATGTGGGAGACACGGTTGAGGGCGTTCTCGACCACCGAGGAGGGGAAGTTACGGTCCTTGAAAAACGAGGACAACTGAGATGTACGGGAGTGGAATGCCTCATCCTGGGAGCAGATGCGGCGGAGGCGAAGGAATTGGGAATAGGGGATAGCATTTTTGCAGGAAGGTGGGTGGGAGGAGGAGTATTCTAGGTAGCTGTGGGAGTCGGTGGGCTTGAAATGAATATCGGTTTCTAGGTGGTTGCCCGATATGGAGACAGAGAGGTCCAGGAAGGGGAGAGAGGTGTTAGAGATGGTCCAGGTAAACTTAAGGTTGGGGTGGAAGGTGTTAGTGAAGTGTATGAACTGTTCGAGCTCCTCGTGGGAGCACGAGGCGGCGCCGATACAGTCATCAATGTAACGGAGGAAGAGGTGGGGTTTAGGGCCGGTGTAG